ATAGATATCGTTTGAAAGCTTATATACCTATCCAACAAGAGGTCACATGATGGTTAATTAAAGCGGTTCGGAAGTTATAGTAAAATTAACGTTTTTCTGAGCCCGGACTTTTTATAAAACCTCCAAAAAGTCGAACAAAATTAATGCCATATTATAGCTGACACTCTTACCTTTCCAAAATGGCACAATTTGTGTTAATACCTTCTCTGAGTCCAGAGATATTAATTGTATAACTAAAACTTGATTTTTATGAAATTTGGTGGGTCAAACTTATTGTACATATGTAAGTATATTTTATCCTTTAAGCTTACAAAACCATTAACACGGTTGTAATTAAGTGTACTTACAAAAATAAAGTGTAAACAAAAATATACCGTTATAAGAAAGTTGATGTAAAGAAAAAGAAAACTTAAGTTAAAAATTATTGTTGAGCGTATTACTGCTCTTTATGATTTATTTAATCACGAGATTTGGGGTAAAATCCCCGAAAATGCTCTGAAAGCTTCAATTGCCTGAGGTATTATACCACCAGAGGGCAAATTAAAGTGCGACAAAGGGGACTTACTAAGATAAGTGAAAAGTTCAACAACAGCGAACGGCTGGTTTTGGCGATAGGTAAAAAAAATTATTTTTAATCCGACATTGTCGGATCGCATCGAGCTATCGATTGGTGCGCTCCTCACTTTCTCGAGACAGACCTAGGATACATCGCACTCTAACTGCCTGTTCATCTCTTTGTAGTAGGCCTTGCTTCGAGGGTCCTGTTATTGGTGGCCATGTTAAGCGGAAAAACTGAAGAATAGAAAGAAAAAGTAACGGAACATATAGAACGTACATATAACTACTTCTGGGGGAATTCAGGGTTAGTATCACGAAGGGGTTTAGGTCACTCAAATGGGCATTACGACGGAAGTGTGTTCTTGAGTCACGCGCTATTACGTGCGATGGAAAACTTATGACCTCATACGGGTCATCATGCTTGGGTGCTAACTTCGCTGCAAAACTTTCTCCGGTTTTTGACAGAGGATGTTGTTTAATGAAGACCAAATCACCTATATTTGGTTCCCAGAAAGTTCTACAGAGGTTGTATGTCTGCGCTGATCCTCTGGACTATTTTGAAGATTTCCTGCAGTTACTTCGCCTTACGTTCCGTCATGTGTACTTGTACCGGTGCACAAGACGACCTTACCGAAAGGCGCGGATTGCAGTCGTGGTTCACGACCCTGAACTAAATATACTGGGCTATAGCTGGTAGACTCTGAGGTACTTTATTTCAATGCGAGATTAATCTCTGGAATACATTCGTCCCATTTGTTATGCTGAATGCGTGCTATTTAAGCTATCATCGTCTTTACGGTTCGGTTAGATCATTCCGTAGGGTTTACTTATGAAATCCGCAAACACGGTACAACAAACATTTCTCCAGCTGGAACAAACTGACAGGGTTTATATTGCTGACACGATTGACACCTACGGACACAATTAGCTATATCTCGCATCATTCCTGGCCAATAATATATATTACAAGCTCTATTAATCAGCGAACAAAAGCCAACAAAACGATAAACGATATATATATATAAATGATAAGCGGCCCGTGGGTTATCGATAGAGTTTAACAAATAGTCCGTGACTACTTGGAGTCGGTAACCCTCTAAATACGGCCTCATCTTCCTTATTCCCACACAATAGCTAAACACTCCTTCTCCGTTGCTGAGTAATTCTTTTCTGCCCCATTAAGGGTTCTACTTGCATAGGCGATTACGCCTTCTGCTTCTTCTAAGTTATGGGTCAAAACGGCTCCCAGCCACACTCTGGCTGGCATCCGTCTGTAATTAGAACGCTTTAAAAAAATCTGGGCAAACTAAAGCCGGTGCATGGGTGAGTCCGGCATCCGTATGTAACTAAAACATTTTTGAAAAATCTGGACAAGCTAAACCGGTGCATGGGTGAATCGGGCTTGTAAATTTTCAAAGACTGTTTGCTGATCTTCTGTCCATTTCCAGTGTTTGCCGTTCTTGAGTTGCACCGCTAAGGGGTGTAGAAAGGTGGCAAACTCCAGCACGAACCGACGGTACCATAAAGCGATTCCCAAGAACCGATTTAACTCTTTAAGGTTAGGTGAGTCGGGCTTGTAAATTTTCAAAGACTGTTTGCTGATCTACTGTCCATTTCCACTGTTTGCCTTTCTTGAGTTGCACCGCTAAGGGGTGTGCTAAGGTGACAAACTCCGGCACGAACCGATGGTACCATAAAGCGATTCCCAAGAACCGATGTAACTCTTTAAGGTTGGCGGGCATTTCCTGGATGGGCGATACCTTATATGACTCCGATTTGCGTTTCTCATACACCGCATTCTGTATTCATTCGACGATGCTGTTCCGTAGTGAGCGGAAAAAGATTAGGTGTGGCCTCCATATCCTCCGTCACCTCCAATAGGTCGCTAAAAGTGAGGAAATCCCTCATCCGGATGTAGCATTGGTATCGTGGAGTGCATTCCGGCTCAAAAGTGGGAGGAAAAACATGGGTAAATCCTGCCAAAAACTGATCCATGTGCTTCAATGCCTATTGGAGCTACCGTTTTCCACCGTAGCTGTTTCGGAGTAGCGGTGTTTGAATCCGATGTTTGGAGTTCATGCTTGGATTGCAGGATAAGAAGATACTTGAGGCGTTTTGGGTCGCGTTCCTCATTCAGAAACTGGAAAAAGCGTTTCCTCAGTTCTTCTACAGTTCCAGTAGTATCACGATCCTATTCGCCCAAGTACGTGATGAACTCTTCCTTTCGTAAACTACAAGCCCAGGACACTTTTAGTATCACTTCCATGTTGCGATTAACCTCAGAACTTGTAATTTGTATTTTATAAACTGTTTAATTCCACTCTCAAGTCCCTGCTCGGGCGCCACTGTAACGACGAGTTTCCTACGGTCGGTGGTATACGCTCGCGGGAGGGGCACTGAGAGGGAAACTGGTAGATGGTTTGTGTACAAATTCGGTACGTACCGCTTTATTATATACAATTTAAAGACTAAAAATTTTGGTATGGTACTTATTTTGATTGCTGCGGTCAGCTGATATGGCTTACTGCTCGCTTAAACTTAGTGTTATTTCTTTTACAACCCAAGGCCCACGACGGCACTTGGATTTCGCCTTAACTCAGTTTTATTTCTTTTGAATACTAAAGACCCTTGACGGCATACGAATTTTACTCAAATTCAGATTTATTTCCTTTTAATACTTAAAGCAGGCCATCCACAGGGGAATCTGTTCGACGAACTGTTCGTCGAACAAAAATTTGAAGAAAAATCTGTTTATAATGTATGTTAAAAACGGTAAAAGGGCTGAATTCGAAGTTACAAATGTATCTAAAAGCATCAAAATACCGAAAGGTACCCCCTATACCTTTATATGGGGGCTATACGAAGACGTGGACCTGCACAGACAATTTTCTGGCATGGGTTGAAGTAACCATTACGAACTTCACATGCGAAATTTGAAACAATTCCGTTAAATAATGTCGCTAAAATCATCAAAATACCGAATATCGGGGGGTACCGTTATATGGGGGCTATATGATAACTTGGACCTACATGGTCCATTTACGAACTTAACCTGCCTACTGGTAAAATATACACGTCTGCAAAAATTTAGCCTTCTATCTCAATTTGTTCGAAAGATAGCGTGATTACAACAGACAGACAGACAGACACACAGACGGACATGGCTAAATCGTCTTAGAATTTTACGCTGATCAAGAATATATATACTTTCTTGGGTCTGACATGAGTATTTCGAGGAGTTACAAACGGAATGACAAAATTAATATGCCCTCCATAGTATGGTGGAGGGTATAAAAGCATATGGATGAAAGAATGGTATGCAAAGCGCCAAAAGTTCACACATACAAAGCTCTTAAAGGAACTGAAAGAAAGATTTCGGGTGGATTTAAAGAATTTTCTTAGAATGGACGCTGAACATATACAGCTCTATTAAATTTGGTAAATTCATCGACAGGATACTACAATGAGAGAAGCAATAAGTGCAAATGAAAGGCTTTCAGCGATTTTGCGCTTTTTGGCAAGTGGCCAAAGCTACGAAAATTTAAAATTTTTAACTGGAATTTTTCCCCAGAGTCTTGGACGCATGATCATCCACATTTTTATATGTATTTAATAAAACTTCCCACGATTTGTTTCTGGCATTTTTATTTTTATATATGTCGCTTTTTGTTTGCCACAATGCTGGTTCATTTTCCAGGCAATTAATAAATTCCGATAGAAATTGTTGTGACATTTTAACCTTTAACTTCTGTTTACGTAAAAAAATGTTTTTTTTTTTACTTATTGTAATTTAAAATATACAAGCTTACTTTTAAAAAACAAATTATTATCAAATAACATTTTTAACAAAGTTTTTTTCTGTAATATTTAGAGGGGTAAAATTTACCACCACGTTATAAAATATGTCACCTCAGAAGTTAAAGGTTAAGTACGTCTTCACTCTAAAAAAATATTTTTCAACTGATGTTCGGCGAACACTGCCACCCGCTCTGTCAAATGTTCGTGCGAACACAGAAAAGATTGAAACGTTTTAATTTTTGGCGAACAAAACGACGAACACAAAATTCACTAACACCAACAAAAAATTCACTAACACCAACGATGTAAACAACACATGTTCGTCGAACAAATTCGCCTGTTACATGGCCTGCTTAAGGCCCACGACGGCACTTGAATTTTCACATAAATTCCGGGTTTCTTAATTTTTAAAATCCGATTTCGACGCGAAATTCTATATTTTTCTAATTCTAATATTTTTTAAGTAATTAAGCAGTCTGGAGCATTCTAATGGAGCTTCGTTGATACCTGGGTGGCTAATAATATCAGGTTTAGTTACATGTTCTTACAACGGTAACCGTTTAAATTCCTATGGGTCGCTGATAGATCAAAATTTCCAAAATATCTGCCCATTTGCTTGCTAGAACAGTACCAAAACCCGAATGTCAAGTATTGATTTATTTATTTATTTTTGTGTGATTTGTTTTCTATAATCCTTAGTTAAAATTAATTATTTATAAACATTAATTTTTTTATATATTTATGAATATTATTCAAATTACAAAAAAATTTAAAACATTTCCTTCTTTATGTATATTGTTGTTTGTTTGTATGTATATGCATAATTGATGAGAAATGGCGACTAAAACTATTTGACTAAAATTGATCATATATCTATATTTATATATGTTAAATGTAAACTTATCCACAGTCACGTAAATAACGAAAATCTAAAACAAATGTCAAGGAGAAATCAACACGAAATCTATGCTCTAGCTCAAGTAAAAATAATAAAATGTTTTAATTAAAACAAACCAGAGGCGGCCTGTAAAGTTGTTCAATATTTTACAATACGCTATCTCTGAACGTATTTGCAGTATTGGATGAACAAGGTGGGATAGATAACTTAATAATTTAGTTCATATAAAACTAGAACTAAACATTCGTGAGCAATACAAATCTTAAAGAATAAGAATATAAAATGGCTAGCAAACTTACAATTACTTAAATAATTTATATGTTGTAATAATCATTTAGTTTAGAAAAAAAAGAGAAACATATGACGCCTCTTAACAAAGCCTGGGGTAGAAGAAAAAATCATTGAAACTTTACAATATGCTTTTAGGAGTAGTAAACTTCATTCATGTCGACATTGGTTTGTATGCAATTCCCATAGTTGGCTTCATCCTACTATAATGGGTTAAAGTTGTAATTGAAGCCAGGATTATTGAATTTGTAACGGGCAATTTCAAACTTGAGTTTCTCTGTCTTAATATCGGCGAGACGCTTTAATTGCCTGGCCACCTCTCGTATATCCTGTGATGCAAATAACTGACCGGCCAGTGTAGAGGTTGATGAAGTTGCGGGAACTTCTTGAACAATAGTTTGATGATGCTGTTGCTGCTGCTGCTGTTGTTGTTGTTGCTGATGATGACTTTGCGTTTGTGTCTGATGGTGTTGTATGTGTGGATGTGAGACCGTAAAAGTAGTGGGACGTGATGAATGTGGTGCCTTTTTCACTGTAATAATAATAATAATGGATAAAAGAGTGTTAAATATATATTATATAACAAAAAACTAAACTATTCAATATATGAGGTGTTTATAAAATCACATTAAGGTTTTGAAACTTCAAATTGCAAACAATGTGGCTGGATTGAAGATGTATTGAAAATTTCCGCAGGTGAAGTTTTCATTCAATGAAATTGAGAATCCTATTGACAATCCTGTTAAAGTTGTTGCTGAAACCTTAAACAATCAATATCAATAATGGACCTATACTGGAGCGAGGATTTATGTTTCTAGAGCTTGTAGGTTGGAAAATAAGCTTGGACATTCAAAAAAAGTTTAAATCCGAAAATTCCTTTATATGAAAACTTACAATTTGGTAAATCGTTGATGTTGGGAAAACACAATAGATGCTGGGTTTTCATGCTTGTTCTACAATGTACAAGCAACCTTGTGGAGATGTAGTCAGGAACCATGTATTATAGACTATCAACTGCCTCTTAGTTGAGGCAATTGATGGGGAAAAGGATAAGAAAAACCTTAAATAGGTTAATAAACCTATTAACAATATGCCCTCAGTCATATGGCTAGAGAGGGTATACATCATTTGATACGGTCAAAACGTGCCTAGTCGAAAAAACGATTTTAGACCCTAGGTCTCTTTGGACCAAATCCGTTTCAGGACATTTGGAGTCGATCTAGCGATGTTTGTCCGTCCGTCTGGCTGGCTGGTGCGCACGATAAATCTCGAAGGGAATATCCGATTCGATCAAAACTTGGTACATCGTAATCTATATATATAAATGTAAGTTGTGTTAGTTACTACGCTTATAACTCAAGATCCGCTGATCCGATCTTAACGATTCATACAAATTCGGAATTGTCTCTTTTCCGAAAAGGATAATATTCAAAAAAATCGCGTAAAAATGTGATATATTAACATTTTCATTTTGACTTTTGAAATATACAATAGTAATGTTTTATTTTGCATGAGTTTTTTCCATTTTGACTTACTTTTTTCTAATGTACATTTGTAGTGTTTTTTTTATATTTTTTTTAATTCGAATATTAATACCAATTTATTTAATTGACTTGATTTCTTGAGAACTGAAATTGATGGCGGGTTGCATGGAAGTCAGTCAAATGATATCGAAATAACTTAACGCGGTTAGACCAATGTTAAAAGATAATTACTTTTTCAAAATCGCTAAAAAACACGATAAAAGAGATCTCATGGCAAAAATTCTCAAATCGGGAAAAATCGAAAAAAAATTCAATGGAAATTGACTAGATATGGAAATAATCCATCCAATGAGAACTTAAAATGCAAAATTCATTGGGACTGAAACCAGTGAAATACCGAATATGAAGAACACTGTTATATGCAAACTATATAAAATAGTGGAGCAAATTGAAAATTTGGAAAGAAAAGGATACATTTCCTCGGAAAATTCTTCCGAAACCTTAAAAGTAACCTTAACTCCCATGAAACGTTATACGGTGACTATGCGCTATCATCAGTAGTCAGTTTGGTTGGTAAGTAAAAATCCCAAAAAAAAAGGGGGGGGGGGGGGGTCGATCAAACGTTTTTAGGGTCCATTTTATATAGTTTAACCAAACACAAAGGGCCTCAAATATTTTGCTCTATACTTCGCAAAAGTTACCATAGAGTCTTAAATTTCTCCTAGGGGTTTCATGAATAATCAGTTGTTCAAAATATATATCAGATGTATATCAAATGTTGGTAATTTGAGATTTTAAGAAGAACAACACATTTTTTCAAATAATTATAAGAATAGGACCATGCTTTGGTATAACCCTTATATGTGGACCTATTTCTTTCATATTACAATAATCCGCCCAATGAGAACTCAAAATGCAATTCATTGGAATTGCAATCAGTGAAATACTGAATATAAAGGGTGCAAAATGGTAGAGCGAATTGGACATTTAGGAAAAAAAAAACGTTCAAGATATCTTAAATCGCTTTTGCAGGTCACGATATATGACCCCCGGATAAGGATACACTCCTTTTTCAAGTATAGTTTACATTTTAACCATATTTTACTCATACGCATTTTAGCAAAAGTTGGTAATTTGAGAAGAAACCATCCTCGCAAAAAATGATCGCGTTTTGGTATAACCATTATATAATTTAAGCTATATTCGGGGTTTTCGACATTTTTCTTTCATTTTTCAGGCCTTTATTTGGCATCTTTGTTTCTACGGGTGTAAAAAACCTCTTCTCATAATATTTTGACTTTTGGAGTAGAGTCCATCTTGGTCTTGATCACATTCATCAATTGATTTGGCTAAAAAATTGTATTTAGGCTACTCTGGGATAGAGAATCGTCTTACAGATAATTGTCCACATAGGCATTGTTGTGGTAGAAACATGAGAAAGTCACGAATATTAGTTTTTGGATCGTTATTGAATTATACTATGAAGAAAAATATGGACTTTATGGGTTTTGCAACACACAATTTAAATGACAAAAATAAATTAATTCCTATCTTAAGGTAATGGGTGTAAAAGACCAATTATCTTTGACTATTTTGAAATCATTCAGATCAGTGTTCTATAATGCTTTAAAAAATATACATTAAAAACTAAAAGTAGGGGCCGGCAACGCGGACCGGGCCAGCTAGTATTTTTATAAAACTTAGATCGAGTTCGGATATGGGCAATATCGGTACACTCCTTCTGGTACTTCCCACACAAAAGGTCGACATTTTCAAAAAACATATTTTATGCCCAGAAAGAGAAAGAATAATCCGATTTTGCTCCAACTTTGCAAATCCTATAATTTGCGTTAGTGCTAGGTCAGTTGCGAAAATGGACAATATCGGTCAACGCCATCAAGTGCCTCCCCAAAAAGTGTCAACATTTTAAATACAATTCTTATAAAATCTGGTACCTCCTCAAAAAAGGTCGAAATTTTGAATATCCCTTAAGCTCATCAAACGCAAAATAACATCAAATTTCATTTGGACTTGGCACATCTGTATATTTCCATCAACACAGGATCTGTTGTAAAAACGGTAGAGATCAGACCATTCCTTCTGGTATCTCCCCTACAAAGGGTCAAAATGAATATCCATGAAGGTCATAAAACGCGAAATAAGCATCAAGTTCACTTTATATTTCACACATCCCATTATTTCTACTAACAAAAGATCTGCTGTGAAGATGGGATATATCGGTCCACTCCTTTTGGTACCTCCCCCACAAGGGTTCAAAATTTTGAATATCCATGAAGCTCATAAAAACCGAAATTAACAACCGATTCCATTACAGACTTGGTATATCTCAATATTTCCATCAACACAAGATCTGTTATAAAGATGGTAGAGATCGGACTACATCTTTTGCTACCTATCCTGCATAAGGTTTAAGATTTTAAAAAACAAACGCTCAAAGAAAGCGAAATAATCATCCAACTGTCTTCAAATTTCACACATATATAAATTTTTGCTAATACAAGATCTGTTATGAAGACGATACATATCTGCGACCCCTTCTGGTTCCTAACCCACAAAGGGTCACAATTTTCAATACTTTTATCTGCTACAACGTGCGAAAGAAGTAAGCAATTTTTTACAACTTGCAATATCTAAATATATCTCTCAACTAGAAATCAGATATGAATATGGAATTTATCGGAATTCATGATTTCGCATAAAACTAGATACAAATATTCGATTTTGTTGTAATTTTCCCTACTAGTATTTTTATCTGTATTAGAAGAAGTATGAAAATGGACCACTTAGGTCGACTGTATCTGGTATCTCATGCACATTTTAACATTTTCTAACAATTATCACATGTGTTATTTAGGTCCGATACAATATTGGCCTACGTCTTCAGAACCCACTCCATAACAGAATTGAAAATATATTTAACTAATAGAACAAATGACCTATTGATGCTTTTTAAATTGTTTTTGAACTAAAATAAACTAAAAACCTCTTTCAATCCAATATGAATCAAAAATATTTATTTTCTCCACTCACCTTCATAAATTATTTGATCGGATATTTGGGAGCGTAATCTCTTCAATGGGATGTCACCATTTATCAATTTTGTCACCGTTCCCGATGGTGTTGTGACCACCGTTTGTACCCCAGAACTTGAACATGTCGAACGTCGATGCGTTATGAATTCTAATTGTTCCTCCGGATGATTATCTTCTTCTTGGTATGCAGAGTCTTCTACTACAATAGTACGATATGTTGTACCTGGCGGCGCACCACCGCCACCACCAGAGTGGCCATTATTTTGGTTAATCCCCGCTGTAACTGTAGTCGCATGCTGTACTGTAGTAGTGTGACTATTTTCTGGTACTATCTCTTCATGCTCTTCAGCTTCGTTTTCTACTATGTGATCATCGTCGTCACCAATAGCTTCTTCGACTGCCGCCTGCAATTGCTTCTGGAATGTTTCCGTGGTCGGCATATGTTCCATATCGTCTATATCCTCTTCTTTTTCTGATTTGAAATGTATTGAAATTTGTTCGGGTGCTGATTGGGCCGGTACTTTGCCAAACAGTTCCAAAGCACGCATTTCCAGCGATGTCATGGTGATGTCCTTTTCACCCGATATACTACGTCTATATTTACAGCGTGTGGTGTTCTTCCAATCGTTTAGACGCTACAGAAACAGATTCATACCATTGATTTAGCAATTTAAATAAATGCTCCCCCTCAACGCAATGGAATCGCGCCGTCACAACGCCAACTTACCTTACGCCACTCCTCCGATGTCAATGTCGGCCCATTACTACATCCATTGAGTTTATCCGAAAGTTCCTTCCATTTTCTCGACAAATAGTTTGGATCATAATCTCGTGGTACGCGTCCTGTGGCAAAGATGGGATCCTTTTCCATCATTTCAATGTACATCATGTACTGATTGGTTGATGTGCGTTTTTTACGTCTGTCCATTTTTTGCTGTGTCGTCTCCGCACTTTCCGACATTGGCTCAAATCACGATGTGCGTCTTATGCTTCCTTATTTACAGAATATCCCAAAAAGAAACAGAAAATATTTCTTTCGTCTGAAAACTCGTAAAACAATCAAAATCAAAATAAATTTCTGTAAACACAAAATTTGCTCCCAGGGATATGTAAGTCGACTTGCGATTAATCGAGTAATCGACATTTAGTACTCAAAGTTCTGAAACTCGACTATGGACTTGGGTGAAAGCCGAGTACTCGACTATTGATAGTCGATTGTTCGACTACTATACTCACTGTTTTTTTAAATCCCTGTTCAATTCAAATGTCCTTGTTAAGTTGAGATGAGTTGGTTGTTGTGCTTCTGTTGCGTTGTTCAAAAAAGCGAATGCGCGTGGGAAAACGAAATCAAAGATGTTCCTACGAACGAAATAATTAACAGAAAGCAAAATCCCCGAGGGCCCCTATTGTACGAATGAGACTTGGGCAAAACTGAACATATTCAGTAAAAGAGCGCGGAACTAGCGACTAGCACAGTTGAAGCAATTGGTACTGGAAAAATACAAACAGAAAACCACAAGCAGAAATACAACATCGCAATCACATAATAGGGTTGCCAACTCTTACCTTTTAACAGTGAATTATTAGCCAACGATTTGTAGCGCATTTATACTTGTGTATGTATGTATGTTAAGGGTAATAAGATTAACACACTGTGTTTAATTTTGTGTATCTTAGGAGTAAGGTAAATGTATTAGGTACTTGATCGGCGAATTGCTACAACCATGATAGAAGAATATAGGTAGATGCATCAACGCTTGGGAACATTGATATGTCAAAATTTTTTAAATGTTCTACCAAAAATAATTATTTTTTATATGTTTTCTTATACGACGCAAATCGGTGGTTGTTATAATATGAATTTTTCAACAATTTTTACAAATATCAATAATTTTTCATTCAACATTTTCAATTCCAAAATCGGTTTGACAGTTCATTGACCCAGCAGCTGTGTCGACGCGTCTACCTATATTCTTCTACCATGGGGCCTTGGCTACAACGAACCACCTTTCGTGGTACCTATAATGGTACCCCAAGCTAAAATACATTTATTTTAAAAAGTATAACAAAGCTACCTTCCAAATACATTTTTCCTTTTGGTGCCCCCATAACAAAAAACATATACACAGTTTGTTTATATGCGTGTATTGTTTTAAAAAAAATAAATTGAAATTATTTGAAATTTAGACACAACAGAAATTAATGTTTTCCACGTTAACTAGCTACAAAATGTATACTTTTGCGATAAAATGTAGATTCAATTTTGCGGATATTCCATTCCATTTTGCCAATATTCCATTCATGTTTTGTGGGTCTCTCCAATACAGAAAATTTGTGGAAAAAATGTAAAATAAACAAAAGCAATCGTTGCAAATTTAAAAGTCTATGGCCAGTTCATAGTAGAATCAAAATTATTCGTTTGACAACATCTCATTGTCAGAATATATATTTATAAATCCATTGTAAATACGCAAATCAGAGATGGGAATCCAGTTTTTATGCAGTGAAAATATGTACTATCCGATAAGATACAGTTTAAACCTTTATATTTTAACATAAAGATTATTGAATCCATGTTGTCTTATCTTATATTGGTTATATAGCAATGACAGCTTTGTTTATTTTTTTGAAAACTAAGATGAAAATACCACTGTAAAAACAATGCATCAACTACCAGTTAAATTTACAAAAAGCATGTCATGTCCATGGTAAAATGAAGAAGGTAAAATCATTTCAAAAAAGCATAGCCATATCTGCATTTTCTGTAATTTACCTTGTCACATTTCTCTACATAAAAACAGGTTCCCATCTCACAATGAAAAATTTTTGAAAAAATTGTAAACATATGTTTGCATGACTTTACCTACTTGATTCTACCATTGTCATGTCTCTGAAAAATATATTTTATTTTAAAGGAATGATGTAATAATAAAAACCCGATATTGTGAACTCGATACTTTTTTTTTAAGGTAGGGAATAACAAAACCGGACTATAAAGAAATTATATAAGTAGGGGCCTATGGGTGTCAAATAAAAACATTGTAATTACTCAAATAAAAATGAGATTACTGTGGTAATTATGCGATGAGTCATTTGCTGGCTTCGCAAAAGATAAAAGGAGCATAGGGTGAAGAAGCATAAATTATGGGCCGAAATTGAATTCAAACTAAAACTCCTTTGTTCTTTAACGAAGAAGACAGCCAATGTCTCAAGTTAAAAAACGTTATATGTATTTGCACCTCAAAGTACGTCGTAAGGCCAGATTACACATTATGTTAGAGTCGTATGTAAAGTGAATTTTTCATATTTTATATTTTTATAGCATACTTTAAGGATCACCCAATAAGTCTATAAACTACATATTATGGCTATTTATAATATGTAGTTTATTGACTTATTGGGTGATCCTTAAAGTTTATAGACTTATTGGGTGATCCTTAATACCTTTGTATTTTTTATGCTATACATTTGGTATATTTAATTAATTCACACTATGCTATAAATTAGATGAAAAACGCTGGGGAGCGTCTAAAAGCACGCTATAAAAATGCAAAGATAAATGTAGAAAAAGTTGCTTTAAATACGCCTTTAACATAATGTATAATCTGGCATTTACATTGCACCACGATACAACTAATACCTTCTAAAGGCTAGTTTACACGTAGTGTTATAGTTAAGGCTAGTTTACACATAGTGTTAGAGTTATATGTAAAGCTACTTCTAAATTTATGTTAAACATTTTTATACACTCAACCATTCTATGTAGGACATATTATATTTTTCATTCCGTTTGTACTCCTCGAAATACTCATGTCAGACCCAACAAAATATAAACATAGTTGTGTTCCAGAACCTACAAATTAGTACTAATTCTGCTACAACGCGTTCCCGTACTGCAAAAACTATCAAAACTTGCAGCTCTCTCGAGGAAAAAATGGCGTTGAGTGGTGCACATTTCTGTTTGTTTTAGCTGCATGAATTTGGCCGAGCAGAAATGTGCAAATTGTGAATTTGACATTTAATTGGCAGGGCTAACAAGGATGAAAAATGTATTGATACATTTCAATGTTCCCGCGTCATAACAAAAATAAACAAATGATCAACTTAAAAACTAAAGGAAAAACTAATATTTGTAGTGCAAAAAAACAAAAAGAGAAAATATGGAGCACTTTTGGATGATTCCAATAGTGAAGAGGACTGGCTGAATGATGAATCAGCTTATTAATTATTATTATAGATTATTAATTTAAGTTCCAGTACTTTTTTAGTAGTAAAACTAGCAGAAGAGAGAACAGTTCGATATGTCATTCTCAATTAGGTGTGCTCAAAAAATAAGGGAACGGAAAATTAGCAGAAATGCGATAAAATGTCAAAATTCCAAGAGTAAACACTGGACTGGAGAAACCTTACTGAAACGGACGCCGAAATTTAAAAAAATTAGTATTGAAGACGATACGTTAAAATTAATAATCTATAATAATAATTAATAATCTGATCCATCATTCAGCCAGTCCTCTTCACTACTGGAATCATCCAAAAGTACTCCATATTTTCTCTTTTTGTTTTTTTGCACTACAAATATTAGTTTTTCCTTTAGTTTTTAAGTTGATCATTTCTTTATTTTTGTTATGACGCGGGAACATTGAAATGTATCAATACATTTTTCAACCTTGTTAGCCCTGCCAATTAAATGTCAAATTCACAATTTGCACATTTCTGCTCGGCCAAATTCATGTAGCTAAAACAAGCAGAAATGTGCACCACTCAGCGCCATTTTTTTCTCGAGAGAGCTGCAAGTTTTGCTAGTTTTTGCAGTACGGGAACGCGTTGTAGCAGAATTAGTTCTAATTAGTACTAATTTGTAGGTTCTGGAACACAACTTAATTTTTTAAATTTTGGCGTCCGTTTCAGTAAGGTTTCACCAGTCCGATTTGGACTGTTTACTCTTGGAATTTTGACATTTTATCGCATTTCTGCTAATTTTCCGTTCCCTTATTTTTTGAGCACACCTAATTGAGAATGACATTTCGAACTGTTCTCTCTTCTGCTAGTTTTACTACTAAAAAAGTACTGGAACATAACTCATATGTTCTTGATCAGCGTAAAATTCGATGTCCGTCTGTATGCCTGTTGTAATCACGGTTCATATTTAAAGTTCGTAATAGGTACTACAGCCTATGAAAAATAATCGCGTATACAGGTCCACGTCTTCGTATAGCCTCCATATAACGATAGGTCCCTATATTCGGTGTTTTGATGATTTTATCGGAATTATTCACCAGATTTGTTTCATATTTCGTATTTGAAGTTCAGAACCGGTACTACAACCCATGGGACAATAAGGAAGTAAAGGTGCAAGTACATAAAAAGCTTGAAGTCATGGCTAGGCATATTAATGTCAAATTATAATGGAAAACCACAGCAGGATTTTAGAGCGGCTCTGTAATCCCTTTATGGAATGTCACAAAATATACCTAGCCATGACTTCAAGCTTCTTAAGTACTTACACCAATGGTACAACAAGGAGGTTGGACAGCTTCGTAAAACTACAAAAGTACAGCCCTAAGGCTATGAAAAAAATTGTAATCAGCTTGTAGCTCTACCTTACCTTTTTATTGTACCATGCTTACACCATAAAACAGCTTCGTAAAAGTACAGAAATACACTCCTGAGGCTATGTCCGCTTCCTGTCAGGATTATTCAAAATTATATACTCAGCAAGTTGTTTTCATTTATTTGAAAAATTTCCTTATTTTTAAAATGAATTTCGAATTTCTTTCAAAAATATCATCTAAACTGTTCAAGCTTTAAATTTAATGGCAAATCTGATTGGTATCTTTAAATGGCGCCCTGCAACGCACGTTTCTTCCAATCTTTGATAATGACATTTTTTTTTTTGTTTTTCAAAACAAAAAGTACATACAGAAGTCCGGCACAAAAATTGTAATCAGCTGGTAGCTCTATCGCACCTTTATTTTGTACCGTGCTACAACCTATGACAAAAAATTACTTATGAAGTCCCCATAAAAGGGGTTTCTTTTTGAGAGGTATTTTTGTACAGATTTTTTTGAAAATTTTCAAGTTTTTTCAAAAATCAGTGCACAGATTTTCCTAAAAATTTCCGAGTATACTTTAACATCACCTGAAAGTAACATAGGCTATAGAAATTTTTGAAATTCCACTTGGAACTGGAGATATAGCATCAAAATCGGAATAAC